ATGCCGGAAAATATTAGCTTCTCCACGTTGCACAGACTAGTTTTAATAGAAGGGAATGTCCTCTGGTTATAATTATAGCAGGCGTCGCTGCTAATGACGTACCCTCAGAAACTTTGATGGATGGGGGACTTCAAAATCGAACCTTCAAAAATTTTAGATAAACCATGTTATAGAGCTCGAGGAGGTGAGTCCAACCATATAGCACACTATATAGAAAAATTGTAAATCAACGTCGTTACAGAGAAAAAACGAAAAAAACGCGAAAACGCGTTTTTTCGTGTTTTTTGAACATTTAGGGTGGGTATTGTACATTTCATCCTCCATGAAAATAATGCTGCAAATCTGACATGCCCACAAGCAAGCGTATCATAGGCTCTTCATACGAAATACATGGCTGAAAGAAGTAGCAAACGTCTGAAACTGGTATGTTGCTTCGTACCACTGCTTTCAGCTGAAAACGCTTGAATTACGTCACAGAGGATATCAAAATGACCAGAACTCTATGCTCTCCGATTATAGCCCGGATCATGCCTTTTGAGAACTGAGAACGGAGTTTTAAATTGATGGAGGGTTTACGATGTTATCATATCCGCACTTGACATCCTATGTGCTGACAGTTTCAATTTCATTTTTTCCCGGAAAAGGAGGCAAAAAGTTGAGAAAATCGAAAAATTACTATATAATTGAATTCCTCCTGAGCAAAAATTTCTGATGATTTCTTTTTCAGTTTGATTCGAGTACTTTAACTGATTTTATGACGAAGCGCTAGTTTGCGACGAATTAATCTGTCGCAAACGGATTAAGCCGCCGCAATTCGTCGGTTGTCCATGAGGTAATAGCAACACTGTAGCAGCGAAATAAACATTAAGCTCTTATTTGTTTGCGCTTGGCGCAATCACGATTCCTTCTCAATATAAGAGGAAATGACTACAAGTAACAATGGGTGAACGAAATCTGAGAAAATAAACAGTAAGAATGAATGAGAAACGTACCGAGCAGCCTCATCATGTGCTACACTCGTCATGGCACGCCACCAAACTGTGAAGTCGATTAGCGTCGCACGACGGGACTGAAACCTAATACTTTACAAAAGTATTTCTTTGTCTTCAGTTTTACTTCTTTCTTCTAGTACTTCTACAAATTTCTCCATAGATTTTCAAGCTGCGAAAGAGCTTCATTTTAAGTTCGAGAAGTACTTTGAGCTACAGAAGGGGAAGAAACGTATGTTCGCGCTTGGCGTCAACACCAGTTTCCACGAAGAAAAGTTACCGCGGATCGGTCAAAGACTGCGTTGCTGACGGGTAGCTTCAAAACTTTTACCAAATGAACGACACTCTTTCAACAGCGACTTTCGTCAAGTATTGCTTCCATGAATATCACTGTCTAAAAAAGGGCAGAGTTCGATGAAAGAACGACAATGGCATTACCACTCGAAGTCGCATCACGCTTTCTATGCTTGTCATTTTTGACCACGCCTCACCTAGTAAGCTATTATGACGATAGAAGCAGCAGTAAGGCAAAGAGCTTGGGCGCACTCATATTAATGACGGCACAGTTCACTGAATAAAAAATTGTTCCCTAAAAAAAAAGGAGACAAATGATTGCAGGTTCCGTATAAATGCGTTGTCGCATGTAATCACCTGGCTGCCTCCACCTGGGTCCGCTTTTCGTCAGCTTCCCAACGCTTCATTGTGAATTGTGCAGCTTCAACAAGGTCCCCACAATACGGCCACTTTTGAGTGTGTACGTCGTCCAAACCGGTTTTGAGCTCTAAGTAGGCCCTGTCTAGGCCGTTTGTCGGCCCAACAAAGTCCCACATACTCTCTGTGGAGCCACAGGTTTATGCTTGTGGAAAAACTCAGGAACCATTTTCATCATGTGCCAATTAAACTCATCCTAACTCATGCACTTAAAGGCACAGTTCACGATAATTTTGGGTAATCCAGATTATGATGAAAAATGGAAGACAAGATCGAAACTAGTGCGATGAAGGTGAAGAAACTGCATGAATCGGTGTTTCCAAAGTGAAAAACAGGCTTCGAAAAACCGTTAAAAAGGGGGCTGAACGAGAATGAGACCAGAAAAATGAAGAAGAGTGGGGCGTTTGGACGAGCCATACAATGTGTCTCACCGCGTGGTGTGGGTCCTGGTACGAATAACAGACTATGGTAAGCGAAAATTCACTCACTTATAAGCACAACTAAACAAAACAAAAACAAAAGTAGCTCACCTGTTTCAGCCTCTAGGAGAAGGAAATTAAGAAAGGGATTGCGGCTACAAAAAGAATAACAGAGGAAAAAAGAATGGGAGGAAAACATCGGCTCGTCACTCGGCGATTAGCTGATTGTGTGTGGGTCCCAGAACGAATAATAGCCATCTGTATCGTCTCGACTCTCGTCTAACGTGACATTGATCGAGGGGCGGGAAAGCGAACTACGGCAGCAACAGGGCTTCCACTATGCCCTGAGCGCTGAAATTGTGGGAGCGAGAGGGTCCCTTCTACCACCCATGGGGGGCGCTGAGTATTCCTAGAAGAAAATTCAGTAGCCTTTTCTATCGTGAACCGTGCCTTTAAAAAAATCACTTACAGGCTTCCTTGCACTATAAGGTTTCGCGCCTTGCCCTTATGATGTTGTTCGTAGGAGCAATTAAATAAAAACTACTCAGTGCAACTACATTGTTTGTGAAGGCTTTCCAAATAGAATTTGAACAGGTTCGATAAACGAATCTGAAGGCACGCACATGCTCGTGTTAACAACAGCCTGTAGCATATACCTAGGCCGTGCTCAACTGAAGAGGTATACGAATGGCTCAAAATTTCAATGTATGCTCGAGACTTCTCACTTCTCCTTTTGTCAGCGACATAAAAATTGGATGCTTCCAATATAGCGGAAGGTTGACTGCCTCGCATATACGTGACATATCAGCAAGAGAGCACTGAAAAAAATGATATCGTGGAACGTTTTTGCAACCTAGCGGTACTTCCAATAGTATTCCGCCTAGTTCCGCATTGCCACACATAAATTGCGAGGAATGAAACGTAATGATGGAACCCTCATACTGATAATTCTCAAGGTTAAAACATATCATGAATCATATGAATGGTCCTCGAGCTCAAATGGTGGCGAGGATAATGCAGAGCTTGAAGAGCTAGGACTCTAATTTTTTGATGAGCCGCCTTCGTGTATTCGGTTTTCTATTCAAGGTTTTATGACGGTTCTCATTATCGACCAATCATCCTTTGTTCAGATAGACCTTTTCCCTATAACAAGCCTAGAATTGAGCGCATTTATCGCCTATTGTTTGAAGGACAGGAGGACAAGGTTTCCACAGGATAATCAATCTCGTTTTAGTAATGATCCTTACATTCGACTTTCAATCGGAGCGGTAGCAGCGTTCAAATGGAAATGTGCGCATACATGATCGATTATCGGAATGTGTGTTTTATATGTCCTTTTCAGAAGAAAGCCGAAAACTTCACCTCCATTTGTTCACTTTTGAATGGTACTCTAACCACTTGCATTATTGATTTCTGCGTCGAAGATTTCCTTTAGAACTTTCTTTCCGGTTACCTTCTGAGCGCACAGTCACTCTCTTCGGGTGAGGTCCGCTTATGAGGCAAAATAGCTCGTCTATGTTGTCTGATTTACAGCGGGAGATGATCCATCGTGAAAATGGCGCGCTCGTAACAGGTTGATAATGGCGCGCGAATCCACTGACTGGAATCCCTCCGTGTGACAGCGTACTTGAGCGGTTAATCAAACAACATGTGCGCAATGCGAGCACGCTCTGTCTTGAACCATGCGTCTATCGAACGTGCAGACATTACTCCCCACTGAACTACATAGTTTGAAGAGGTATGCCGCTTCTGGCTCCATATTTACACTAAATACTTGGAAACTTTCACTACAAAATTGCCTTTTCAAGCTATTTTGCGGCTTCAGGCAATCACCGTTGTAGAGGGAAAATGCATTTCACCTACACATCCCTTCATTTCACCACAGGGTTATCACGTTTATCTGTGAGGTATTATTTATGAAAGATGAGAGTCGACGGTAATTAAAAGACATGTCACCTGTTCGCTGGGAAGTTCGCGAAATAAGTGACAAACACGACGCAGTGCTGCGTCGTTTTCCACTATGGGCACCGGTACGCCCTGTGGGAAGTGAAATCTGAAACATGATCATTGGAAAACACCAACCAGTGACTATACCAGAATATGTGACTCTCCGAAACAATTAGATCTCCTTAAAATTCCAATAGGTCGGTTTAGTGAAAAATGGAAATCGATGTGGAAAAAAATATAGTATCTTAAGGCCCCAGCATTGATGAAATAATTGGCGTAAACAATGTAAGCTGCAGGTATGACACAAAAGTATAATACAACAGTTAAGCTAGAGTTTGGGTGAATAACGATGCTAAAAACTGTTGATATGCTATATCCAAACACAAAGTACATGTTTCAAACGACGCCTTTACTGCTCCTGATACTTCCAACCAATCAAATCAGAGTAGAAAAGACAAAAAGACCTCCTTCACCTACTTTAATTTTCTCCTCTACAGACCCACCAACTGGAACTCAACTCCCAGCACCTGAAATTCCGTGAGCCTGCTTCAACCTTTTTTCCTTATTCTCAGATTGGTAAGTGAAGACATTGAACACTCTTTCACAAAGTCAGCAACTGAGAGATAAGACAAAGGCTATAAAACGAGCAGACTTGGTTGCAAGTGACTTTCGATCGTTCAAAATACCAGCATGGGTGGGACTAATATAAAAAAATAACTACAAAACACAACACAGTGAACATAAAGGAACCCTAACCGCGGATAGTTGATCAATGGTGCTCCCAATGGATGAGTGAGAATCGTCGGCCTTGCAGCGGTATTAATGCTTTTAGGGTGAAGTCTGGAAACAATATTAACATCAAATCAAGCTAATCAGAGTCATTGTTAAGTTTTAGCCATTCAAGTGGTTGCGCATTTTCTAGGCAATTTCGAGGACCCTCGCCCTTGTATCCTCTCCCTTTGCCAAAAAAAACGGTGGTTGTTGAGATTGAGGGCTGATTTCACATATACATTCCCTAGCTATAGTTTTCTGAAATGCCAATTTCTCCTGTAGATGCAATCGATGTCATGATGGGAACTTGTGAACTCTCAACGGAACAGTTTTTCAACACGACCGCAAAGGCGCTTTATATGAGTTACTGCTAGTCAGCACCATCGACAAATTGCAATAACATTAATTCCATCATTCAAGTGTTAATGTTGTTTGCAACGGTTTTAGTAGTGAGACCGTTCAACATACTAATTCACCAACTTTAAGAAGAACGAGAATAAAATATTCCAAGATAACATAGCAGATTGTGCGATTCTACTGTAACACACAATAAGTGGTTAACTTTTGATGTAAAGGGAACTTGCATTGACACGCTCTCTTCCAGATTCTTAGTACCGTAAGTGGCATTCAGTGAACCGTCGGATGTCCCAGACGAAGAATCTAGCGCCGGCTGCTTCTGAACAATTACATTATTTCTCAGTAAGATCTTTTGCGAGATACTTCGTTTGTAGAATGAACCCTACTAGAAATTGACTCACCCTCACATCAGCGATGGAAAGGCTACTAAGCTTGGCGTTGCCATTAACTCTGAAATAATGAACTTCGAAGTTATCTACAACTTAATACGTTTGTACAGAGGCACTCTACTACAAGAAAACTTTTCGTTGCGATTAACGGTATTTTACTCAGAATATCCCCTAAGCTGGTTCAGAGCATAGCACATGGGCATATTACGGAGAGCTCTTCAGAAAAGTGATTTATACTCTGGTAGTAATGCTGTCAAATGTGGGCAAATGCTTTCGTTCCCATGGGAAACTAAAAATGTGGCATGTTACAAAGGGCTGTCATAGAATGTTCAATGTGTATGTAACCATCCCCCTCCCTGACCATGAGTTTTACCCTAACCCATGACTGCAACGAACTAGCACCTGGATGAACATGATATGAGTCAGTTAACACGTTTACGTGAATAATATGGGAAGTTTAAGCTGTACTTATAGGAAAAGTACAGCATTATGTAGGTAATAAAGTCATAATATAAAACAGTATTATAGAAGATTGTTATGCCGCAGGAACCTGTCGGCTTTGGATCGAAATTCGGAAATCAGGAGCATCAGAGCAGGGGTTCTGAGCAAAGTACTTTATAATACTTCGAACATGCATTCAAACATGAGTTGGGGCCCCTAGTTATTGTGTACATCTCGTTCCTTTATTTTTATTCACTGAGCAACTTCGATAGGCACAGAAGGCGCATTCCAGAAATGGGATTTATCAATGCCTAAGGACTTCATCCACCAATCCTTCTTCACATGCTATTTCTTCCGCTATCGTGCTCCATCCATCTGTCAGACAAACAGTCTCTAACAGAAAAAAATGCAGTGAAGTCTAGTAAAAAAGGTAGCGCGACTATAGACGAAAATTAGGTGGTTCGACTGCAAAGTGGCAAAGTAATTCACGTCAGCTGTCACTGTTCTATTTACTTTTTCGAATAAAGTCATTTGTTCGATTCAAAGAGGGGGAAATGCAGTATCTAAACTCCGAGAATAAATTGGAAGAGAACAAAGAAGACGAGAGAAAATACTAAGAAAAAACCAATCACTATAGCATGCAAAGTATGGTTCTAAGAGGCATTGACTTTTCCATATTGAACTGGTAAAGGTACAAACCTCGGCGATGTATTCTTTGCCGGCTCTGTGATGTGCGTTTCTCCAGATTGTCTGCTCAGCCTAAATAAAAACCTAATGAGCCTCGTATTACAATAAGGAGAAAGGCAAATGCGAGGGACAATCAATTTAAATTATGTAGATTATATCTCACTTCGTCATAGGTGCCTCATTGATATCGATCTTTTGAGGAGATAACTGAAATCAGTGGAATAACACTGGATCATTCAGAGTAACAAACTCATTCCTTCCAAAGTATAAATAACCCCTGCGTTTTCGAAATGCTCGATACACTCATCCATCTACGCCTTGGTAACTTCCATACGCAAAAATCACGCAGGGCCAACATCTTTTTGGAAAGGGCATTAATTCATATCCAAGCCGCTTTCCTGTAGACGGGTTAGATTGGCTCATCGTGGTAGCATTGGAGAATTGTTCGTGCGAGCAATTGTATACAATTGCGTATCGATAAGCAGGATTCTTCGGCAGATCGAGAGAAAATTCGCAAGCAGCTAGCTAGCTCGTTCACAGAATGGCTGCTGTCGCTGCTGCAGCTGCTGACGTTAACGCCACCTGGGTATCGCGGTCAGATCGGAATTACACGTTCGCCGCGAGCTCAAACACCAACTCATGTTATACGGATGATCGCTTAAAGATATCCCTGTTCATCTAAGTGAATGAGCTGTAAGGTGATCATTGCACTGCCTTAGCAAGGTAACATGAGCTGTTTTTTCTCTCTCATTCCAGCCCTTTGATAAAATGCTTAACCTAATAAATTTCGCCTACCTGACTTCCATTTGGGCGATCATCTCTATGAGCCATTGCCACTATTAACTGAGGCTGTTGCACACTTTTTGACTATTCAAGACCAATCATCTCATAATTTTCTATGATGAGATGGCCTTGTGAGAATCCCTAATGTTGAGCAGCATTCGGCCGTCTTGAGGGAGCTTTCCTCATGCGTGCACCGACGGAAGTTACAACACTCACAATTACTCATAAATCATCAAAGTGGATAAAGCACTTTCCCCAAAAAACATATTTAGGCAAGTCACTCCATTCTGAAAAATTCATTTCTGACATCGAAAAGGCCGTGCCTATCGAAGCTGGTTTTGATATGTCGCGAAACAGCCACGCGGTAATTTTGATATCTCGACAATAGATAAGCCTCGTAATGACTCATAGAGTTGGCTCAATACTTACATCTTTAGCTTCTCGTTGCGAGTCAAACACCTTGCGAACAACTGTCTCGAGTAATCGTGAAAAAGATCGTGGTTGCGGATGACGCGATGATGTCTTCAATCGCGACGATCGCGTTGCTAACAAAGAGCACTCGCAGTGTACTGCATCTAGGGGAAGCGCCATGTCCTTCATCGTCAAAGGACCATAGACAAGGCTTTCGGAAGGTTCCGAAAGCGCAGGTCGACACGCTGAATATCTGAGAGAAGCAACGACCTAACTGACAGGACCGAACACGTTGTTCGTTACATACATAGATACATAGATACATAGATACATAGATACATACATACATACATACATACACAGACGTCAACGAGCGACGAATTATTAACGACGTATAAACGAGAGTAAAAGTTATCGGACCAAGTCAATGCAAGTACATTAGCCTGTTGTTAGCAATAAATCATAAGAACAGCCAGAACAGTCATTAAAGGTGACACAGCAACGAAGTCCAGACCGAATTTCACAACATTCCGTCCGTTCCTAATTTCTTATGTTACAATATGTACAAATTTCTCCTTATGTTTCAGTGTTTTGTACAATGCGATAAATTGGTATAGAAAACTTGAGGTTCCTCTCAATGAATCAATAAAAAAAACTGTAACTAGTCACAGTGAGCGCAGAACTGACAGCACAACGCTGAATTTGCTCAGAAACTTTCGTCACAGAACGAGCCTGTTTCGCAATGGGATAAATGACGGCTAATGGAATCTCTTTGAGTCGATCGCTCTCTTTGAAGATAGGATTGTTGTGAAGCGTCATCATATCATAATAATCACTAGGAAAAACTTGAAAACGCATGTAATCCATAAAAACATTAGCGACCAAAGGGACCAAACTGATTAAAAATTACCAAAAAAGTGAGCGAAAGGAGTGGGTCGGAAAGGAAAAGTTTGTGATAAAAACAGACATTAGGAATATTATAAAGCGAACACCTAGACCCTTTTTAAATGCTAGCATGGAGGTCTAGATGGGCACAGCTTTGAAGTTTGGGTGGATGGAGTTGAACAAGGGTGAGTAGTGTGGTACAGAAGAGGTGTAGGCCTTGTAAAAATGGGTCCTGTGAAATGTAAACGCTTGAAGTCACGCAAGTCTTGTTAGCGCACAATGTGCAATAATTTGCATGAGTTTCAAGCGTTCCCATATCACTGAAATCATTTTTAATATAACTCCACTAACATAACCAGACTACCCAATTTTTAATATAACTCCACTAACATAACCAGACTACCCACTTTCTTGTTCAATATATGATCGTTGTAATTGCAGTAACGACTGATGCAGTCTTTTATTGGAGTTGACGCAAAGAATGAACCATAATGCAACAGAACATAGTTTTATACACAACGATAGGGCATGATAGAAAACACTACTATCATTCCCCAACACTTCCCCTGAATGTTGAATGGATCACATATACAGTAGCTGTGAAAAGTCTTCGGTGAAACGCTTTTCTGCTTTAACTTTTTTTTCTAGTGAAGGAAATTGAGAAATACTTTGATATGTCAAACCTCACCTCAAACCAAGCCACTCTGTACATTAAGGCTTCGGAACTGGGAGATCAGTGACCACTTGCGATGGTTTCACTGCTGAAGCGATTTTCCTGACTTTACATTTTGCATCCCGTTTGTGCTTGACGTTAATGCTTGTACACTTGAGGCAGTATAGAGGCACAGAAGTCACTAAGGAAGTTCGGCAGGCAGAGATATGAAGGAATTGGGCATGAAAGTCACGGTCATTTTAAGATTCTTGAAAGTGCCACAGCAGGCGCTTTATTCGACTAGCCAGTGCTATCTGGTGAGGAACTCTGTTTACAATGTTCAGAGAACGGGAAGCCCCTGATGCACTTCATCAGTCCACGACAGAGGGATTATACCTTGGTCGAGGGCTGACCATCGCCTCACTGCGGCTGATATTGCAGCGGAATTCAGCGCTAGAGATGGCACCATTCTTAGTCGGCGGACTGTAGGAAGACGTCTAAACACTGCTAATATCTATGATAGGCGTCAAGCCTTTCACAGTCTGAAAAATAGGAAACGTAGAGTGGAGTTGCGTCCATGCGCCGTCACCTCAATTGAACTTCGACTGAGTGGAGTAAAGCTCTTTTTTACAGACGAGAGCAAGTTCAACATATCTGGGAAAGGTGGTATGCATGGAGGGCGACGTCCATCTGAGGAAAGTTTTAATCCAAAGTACGCCCTACCCACATCAAGCTTGGTGGAGAAGGTGTGATTTTGTACGGTGGCTTCTCCTCGAACGTAATGGACCCTAATGAAAAATTGACGACAGGAGAATACTGCAAAAACATAATTATCGACATTGTCTTGCCGTGGAAAGAGCAGCACATGCCAGCAGGATGGTTCCTGCAGCAGGAATACGATCCAAAACACACCTTATTGGTTGTGAAGGCGGCCTTCTGCGAATAGCGAACCATACTTCAGCAGTGGCCAAGCCAGTCACAAGATCTATATCCTATATAACACATGTGGGAACTCAAAAGGAGCCGTTCGAACAAACATTGTAGAGAAAAAAGGAGAAATTTGCTCAATTGGCGAAGGAGTGGAGCGCCATGCCAGTGGCTACCATCCAAAAGCTAATCGACTCGATACCTTCCCGTTGCAATGCTGTCATCAGAAGCCCGGGCTTTCTTATCAAACAATGATGTTTTGGTGTGTTACATATTACTAATGGGAATTAAAGCGGGTTTTCTTAGGTCACTGCTATCTGTGTTTTCCATTGAGTTTGAGCTGAATCTCACTAACGTACTGTTATCGATATCAAATTGCAGTGAAATAACGGGACAAAGAGCAGTGAAATAGCAGGAAGTATTCACAATATGTATGTCCTTGATCAACTTACTGAAATTTCATCTGATTTCAAGGAGTAGAAAAAATTATAACTGGAAAAGCATTTTACCGAATACTTTTGACTGCTACTGTATGCGTTCTTCCTCGGGCGTGCTTGAAAACAATTGGGCAGACGGCATTCACACTGCACTCTATCCCGATACTATGGCGGTTGCATTTCGACCCATAACTTCATCGCTGGGATTTCTTGTGGTTGCACTTCTTCATTGTGCACTTCAGTACACTTTTCATGTGAATTTCCATGCTGAGAAGGTTCATCAACTGCTTTCGTCGCTTGATCGGTGGCACTTTATTGTGATCCGGTTCGTATTTGGTTGGTGTGTCTTCTCCACAATTACCCATCTCCAGCCATAATATTATAAAATACTCCGTAGGAATCCACTTTTACTGTCCAAGACGAGTGTTCCGAATATATAGAGTGGATTTTCAATATGGTACAATCTTTCACGTGCTCCGTGATGGAGATCGTAATGTCTTTCCATCATTGTCTTGCGTGATCCCTTTTCATTTCTGTTTCTTTCCTTCAGCAGCGTAAAGGTTGTCCGTGTCTAACGTCCAAGAAATATCTTGCTCGTAAAAGTTGCTTAGGAGTCGTGGTACACAGGTCCTTCAAAAGAACTTCAAAAACTCTGCAAAGAGCTCTGACTTGTCGTCCTCCCTCGATTTGGGTAAAGATCTCTTCACAGTATTGATGAGCTTGTCCGTTAGATCGCGGATGGGCGGTGAAGGAAAATATTTTTGTCTTGTTTGTCACAAGACTCTTGGGACTTTTTAATGTGAACCGTGCTCCATTGTCTGATACAATCACTTTTGGATTACCGAACCATGCGAGTAGCATCTTGGGCTCTCTCAAGGTTGCATTTGTTACGGACGACGACATCTCGAGGAACTCTGCATACTGTTTCATCAAATCTGACCCTAAGGAATTCTTGATAGTCTCTGATTCCCTCACCACTCGGTAGTGATACTTCTCCTGCAACTATTTCTATGCAGGGAATTGGGTACATCACTCTAAACCAAAAAGTTTTGTGCTTTCCGTCACGTAACAGTGGCCATTTCATCGCTGTCGCTTTCCACTGGTGCAGTCTTTCATACAGAGAAAACGGTATAAAATCTCCAATATATTTTCATCGGCGATCCATCTGCAGTCTCGACTGGTATAGTGTAGAGTTCCGAGGGAGGAAATCCAAGCTTTTTCCAGGTGTGACGCGATTGCAACGTTATATCTGCTCCAGTGTCGAATTGTCGAGTTTGTGTCCTCGGACATCAACGGTGATATCTGTCCTAAAGTTCTAAGCGGAAAATGTGGTAACATTTTTGCACTTATTGCTCTTGTGGCGATGTTGCTACCTCTGCGGCTTTTTCGAAGAATGGTTTATGAGAAGAAGACAGAGGGTTTCGTAACATGATCCTCCAAATTTGGAGCATTTTACTATCTTTTCCTGCACGGCAGGCACATAACAGCCTGCTTCCATGTTTGCATTATAAACCTCCAAGCTGTGAAATTTTTGCAATCTACAACGAGATCTTCGATTGTGAGAGGCGCGTCTTCTGCTTTAGTATCAAGTCGACGGAGCATTCTGAGACGTATTCCCGTAATGACGGGTCTTGAAGTCCCGCTACGAATTGTAAAATCTTCATTGACGTGTAAACCGTCTCCTTTAGCGCAGCATCTTCATCCATCCTTTTGATTATATGTGCATCATCACGAAATTGTACGCTATCTGGAGTGGAGGACACGCTATCCTCGAACACTCATACGCCTACGTATCAACGTTTTTTGGATGGGAACATCTTTGAAGGTTCCTCACCGTCATGCTGAAATCAATCTCGTGTGGTTGTGTAGGTAGAACATCATCTGCATACTTACGATATGCGACATCATCGAGGGCCAGTATGATAAGAACTCTCTTCTTATCTTCTGGAATACTCGATCTCAAATGATAGGCCCGTAACTCTCGAACCACTAGTCAAAAGTCTGTTCAACATCTTCATCTGCCACAAACTTCTCTATATCCTTGTTTAACTGGTCATATTAGGTCATCTAAATTTTTTTTTGTGCCTGCTCTGTTCCACACCAACGAAGAAAATACCATTTCCATCTCTTCATGCTGAAATCGTTACTGTTGGGTCATACTTTGAATGAGTTGTGTAGTATGAGCAGGGCAGCTCCATCTCTAGATGATTTGGGCATCTTGCCTCTTGGGGACAACTTGCAGGTGGAGTCTTCTTTGCTGCTTTGATCCTGGTCCTGAT